ATTTCTTCAACATTTCGCAACAGACGTCATTCTGTGTCCAGACCTTGTAATTCACTATCATTTACTAAATTTGGAAATATAATTGCAACATCAGAAGTAGATTGTGGGGAATCTGATTTCACTGTTGCGGGATCCATAAAACATAATTTTATCATATTTATGATCTATATAGCGGGCTTGATTCATTTTATGTTTGAAAAAGAACTCTAAAATACGAGGTGTGCTAAAATAAAATGTCTGCTATTACCAACGTACTTTGATCAAGAATGGAATATGTTATATTTTAAGGAATCCACGTAAATTTTTTCAACTTTTATTTGTTACTTTTCGGTAGAAATCTGCATGGCATCGGTTCCTTGACAAATCGATAGATCTACCAAAAAATCGGTAGACTTGGCATCTCTGATTGGAACACCGGGCGAAAGTTGATAACGCGAGTCACTAGAACACGGTTGCCATATCCGTACAAGGTTTAACTAATCCGCCGCTGAATTTCCACGGTGCATACCAGCTGGGTTCTCAAACCGGATTAATTTTTAAACGCGTTTAGTTGATCGCGATTAGGTAGCTTGGCGGTGCATACGGCGGTTAGCTAGGGATAACTTTGGATTAAGGTTAACCCTAACTACAGACAGCTTTGCTCGGCTGTCAATTAAGTGATATTTAGCTAAGATAAAGTTTTACCTGGCAACATTGCTAAAAGTGACAAATTGGCTTTTGCTCCCGCTTTTTCTTTTCTAAATAACCTTTATCTTAGAACTGAATGCGAGGTTGTCGTTACCGTTTACGTCTCAAATATAATTAATTCATAATATATTATTAAAGATGGAGTCATTTGAAAATAAAAACCGGACTACATTTCTCCTATAAGGAAAAACCTTAGACTCCCAGTTGGAAGCGAACAATGCTATGTTATGAAGAGGAGCTTCAAAAGATTTTAGCCAAAAGAGAGCAGGACAAAACCATGTTCGAGTTTCAGTAGGAAAAGTTAAAATTGGAATACTTAAAAAAGACTTAAGCAAATAATGCTAATTTCCATTTGTTTTCGTAATGCATCATAAGTTATTTCAATTTAATAATATTGGTCTTTTATCAGAAGCATTACTTTCAATTCAATTCATCGCTATTTATCAATGAATCTAAAATAGGATCAGTTAAGTCCCTCCTAGTTTGATTCCCTTGCAACAATATATTGTTTCTGTTATATATGTCGCTTATGTTAGGTACTTCATCTTCTTGCATAAGATATATGAAGCGTTCAACATCTTCACGATCAGGTGGCTGATCTTCATTTTGCTCTCTACTCAATTATTTTATTATTAAGACCGTATCTATTTTTAGACGACAACCGTATACAAGGACTGGGAATACTCTTTTCCAGATACCAAATATCCGCTCACTATATTTCTTATCCGTATATGCTACTCGTTGAATAAATGTTCTGCACGATTTGCAGGCTGTTGTAACGGAGTTAATAAATACGGCCTTATGTTATATTCTCCATCGACTATAAACAGAAAGTAACAGATATCGTTTAAATATACGAGAGGTGCATATATATAGATGGAATAGACTTTCCTCTTCTATGAGGTTCGATATGAAAAGTGCGGTATACTTTGTGACACGGAACACGTTGAAAAAACAGAACATCATCAAAATAATGTGTTTTTTCGTAAACTAGTCTAGGAACTCGCTGTTATGTACCATGCCTTGATGACATGATTATTCCGTTAATTCTGGGTTCTCACGTACGCATCTGATTACCTAAACAACATTCGAACCCGATCCTAATGGATGCAAATTCTTAATTGATTCCTTTGACCTAATAGCGTCTTAATGTTACAACAAACAAAGTGGTTGAGCTTATTTTTCCTTTTTCGCGCTTAAAAGCTTTCATGAATCGATGAGCGTTTATCTAAATAAGATTGTCCGACACCATCTGTCGAAGTGGTGATAATTCTTTCAACTAGTCATCCTAAAGTGACCATTTCATTATTTAAGTATATTTTTCTTCTAGGATGGTTAATTGATTTAGTAGTATTTCAGACATAAGATAGCCTTTTGGTTTCACGTTCCAAGAAGAACGATTCTGGATAAACAAAAACGTCATCGAATTTTGATATAAATGACCGTCTGATTTGTCCCCAAATGAGACACTCTACAAACTTCAGTCGAGACACATCGCGGTCGTGCATTTTACCAAAATTGCATAACAGTCTCTTCCTCCATTATTTAGTATTTAATAAGTAAGAAATTTATTTCATAAATTAAATAAAAGTGTATAAAACATTTTGATATTTATTTTAAATTAAATAAATAAACGGGAAATTGAACAAACCGTTCGGGTTCCCAACATCGCACATGGTCGCTGTCATCATTATCAAACAACAGATCATTACTTAACACATTCATCATAAAATAGTTCAGTACACGGAATATACCAATTATTATCGGTAATGACAAATGGGCTTGTTTGCAACAAAATATTGCAACTGCAAAATTCTGCAATAACAGTTCTGTTTGAGGTTAGTCTTCAAATCTGACGGGAATCTAACTTTAGGTTCCAATTAAGCGGCACTTCAACTTTTTCTCTTTTGTGCTGTAACATTCTTGCTAGATATTTTTAGAAACGTCAGGAAGAAATTCCCATGGACCACGACTTCAAAGCCCGGAAAATATTGTTTAAAAGCTATTCTCCGTTGGTTCTAATTGGTCATTTAAAACTTATATATTATAATAAATAATCTGGACTTACTTGCTCTTGTAAGCATGATTCTATGCGAGTTGCCTCCACTGCAGGAATATCAGACCATTCAATCGTGTCGGGAGCGAATGGACCAGTATACTCGCCATCCTCCATTGGATTTCGTAGGATTATCAAATCGACAAACTCATTGCTGCAGGTGTTTACACTGAAAAAATATATTCATATAGAATGTAAATAGACTGGTAAGTACTGAGCGACTCTAAGGTGTAGGTTTTCAGTTATTGACTTTAGTGAACTACCGGTACTCATATCAAATTTTTAACCAAGGAATAAGACGTCTATGCCAGGCCACATTGATACTGTAAAAAACGCGTACGCTTTCACGCAAGTTGTCTTCGCAAAACCCTAATATTTTGACCATGTCGGTAACTTCTTGATCAGAAAAGGTCATTCAAAACGAATTTGTGAGATTGATTGACAATGATTTTATGCCTCATATCACGATATTTGCTGTTAATGTCTAACATTGTTAAGTGGCAAGGAAGCAGAAATATTTTCGTTCCCAAAAACTATGAATGCTACAAGATTTTACAGAAAGCACAAAATTGTGAATAAATGATTAGCGCATCAACCTAAAAAAATGAGTTGATTTAATCGTCCAACTAAAAAGTTCTGGTAGTTTTTGTACCACGACACTCAAGAATTCACCGCTTGTTCAAAACGGCTGAACTGGATTGTTTCATCAAAATATGAGTCTTACATAAGAACAAATTCACAACGAGTTTCACTAAAATACATCGTACCATTCTAACGATATTTCGAAAAAGATAATTTTCTAATAAATATAAATTTTTTCGAATTTTTTTCGATTTTCGAAAAAGATAATAAAATAAGATAGGTCAGATCGTCTTCTTTTGGTCCAAAGAATATCGCAGTACCCTTTTGATCATGAGTTTACGGGACACCTTGGATGTCCTGGGCGGAAACCTCAGAAATCTGACTCCCCGTTACAATTTTCTGTGGAAACTGTTGAAACATGGCGGAGGTAAAATCGTGCCAAATGCGAGCTGCTTACCGACTTGTTGGCGGGGCGCACAGATTACGACCAGTCCTTACAATTACTTAATCAAATAACAGACCGCCGTTTTCGTAGATCGTATCCTCTACCACCCACGTTTACACATGCCTTTTCGTCCCGTCAATCGCGCCTTCGAGATTTGCCTAGCCGAAATTCCCCTAGGCCATACGCATTTGAAATATTCCCTTGGAAAACCTTCCGCAGAAAACGATTGTACAGAAATGTAAAACAGTCAACGCAGTCTTTTAATTTCCCACAAGACTGAATAAACGCTGTACGGGAGAGTGAGCCACCATAAGACGGAAAAAGTCACAAGGGTTTTTTTTCTCAAACACTTCACTTGAACGTCCAGAAAAATTTGATTAGCAGTCTGTGATGGTGGAAAAGACACAATTACTTTAAGTTGAAACAGGTTTTGATTCATTCAAGACAGTGCAAATTTCGAGGTTTGCTAATCTCAGGAATTATTTGGCTTTTCTATTATTTGTCGTATGCTTAAGGTATATTCCCATGTACAGTCGGCGTCACCTAAAAGTAGACGATTAAATAGTTCCTGTGTAAATCTCACTTTCTACCTCGATTTATCTCTGCGTAAATGTAATACTGACCAATGAGTTTTCCGATTATCAAAATGACACATTCAAAAGTATTTGGAAAAACTCGAATAATTACATTAATCGAGGCGAATGATGGTCAACAAAAACCGTAGCTGAGAGATTCCGAAATCCGAAGTGCACGATTTATAAAAGATTAATTGTATACGAAAGGTACTGGAAAATGTAACGGAGGGATCCCTATTGACGCCAAATGAATAACGAATTTGAGGTATGCAGGGAATAGTGTGATTCTGACTAGCGGAAGCCAAAATGGAAGTTATAGCGGCCAGGCTCATAGAAGAAGAGTAGCTCATATGGACTGCAAATTAATAGAGCCAAACCAACCAAACCAAAAAGGAAAACCTGCCACCACACCAGACCGTAGCTACATTTTCAGTAGTGGAATGATTTGATTATCTAGGATCAGTAGTTACCAACAAAGGTGGATCTGAAGAAGAAGTCCACAAAACGACTAGTGATCGCCACAATGTATATGGCAGAAGTGGTGACAATTTGTAAATATCGAGCTAGTACCAAAAACACAAAACTTCGGCTGAAACATAGCCTTTGATTTTCCCTTGCAACTTACGCCTGCATATCGTGGACTAATCGGACCTCAGACCAACCATAATTGAAGCGTTCGAAAGATAGTGCTATCGAAAAATGCTACTGTACCTGTACCAGACAAGGGGTGTAGGGGTGACGTTGTAGGAGTAGTGCCGTTGTCGCGATACGACCACACTCTGATTTTAATAGTGTGGTTTCACCACACTGGTCACCACAAGGTTTCCAACTCCCACTTGCTGACTCCATGCGCAACACCCCGGTAAACTGCGTTATTTCGCAGGCCAAACCAAGTGAGGGTAGACAGATATGTCGAAAACCTGTTGCTGGGCAGCAGCGGCAACAGTACCATGTAGCGGTAATTAAGATAATTACATATTATCATAATTATGATATTATATAATAAGATCCAAGACCTCAGACTGGAACCTACGGACATGCTGGTCAGTTTCAATGTTGTATCCCATTTTACAAAAGTACCCTTGGACGAATCCATAGAATTAGTGGCGGAGCTAGAAGAGAATAGAACAAATATGTTCAAACTTGTCTAAAAGGCAGCTACTTCCTGTGGAATGGAGGTTACTACGAACAAAAGGAAGGAGTAGCCATGGGAAGCCCACTCAGCCCAGTGGTGGAGAATCTATTCTAACCGCATTGAGCACCACACCCCTTAATCTAACGATCTGGTGCCAATGTGTTGATGACACGTTTGTGATATGGAGGCATGGACGCGAAAACCTGGACATCTTCCTCGACCACCTAAACAAATAGCACCCAGACATCCAATTCACCATGGAAGTTGAACAAAACCACCAACTGGCCTACCTGGATGTTTTGGTGTCTAGGAAGAGGAATCGTTTGGACCACAAGGTATATCGAAAACCACCCCCACGGACAGATATCTTCACAAGCAAATATCTAATCACCATCCGAGTCAGAAGCAGGGAATTATTAAGACTCGTACTGATAGAGCCAGAAAAATTTGTAGACCACCACATCTATCCACAGAACCGCAGCACTTGGAAAAGGTTTTCTTCAGACCGGATATTCCCAGTTGGACATCAAAAAAGCTGTAGAAGTGGGCCGTGCTGACAAAAGTGAATCCACTCTGAAAGCTTTCATGCTCTTTGTTTCCAGAGTTAGGGACAGAATTGGGAGGTTCCTGAAGAAACACAACATAAGAACAATCTACAAGCCCACAACAAAGATCCGAGAATGTCTAGGGTTAGTTAAGCCACAACAGGTTATCGCCCCCGACTAATACGAGAAGCCATTGAAACCGACCAACACGACGACAATTTTAACAGAAAAGAAGAGACAATGGCGCTAAACAGGATATGGTTTCCAGCACTCACCAACGCAAGAACAGCAAGAAAAAGCAACAGCTCAAGATAGGAGAGAGAATCCAGTACACCGGAGGATAGCAACAGCCAACCGGCCACGCCATCACAAACCACGTCATCACAACCGGTGCATAAATATCGACTGCGCCCGAGAAATCGCATCAGAACAGTGTAAGCGTTCAAGCAAACCACTTCTGAAGATGCAAGTCACTTTTGCTTGCGAAACGTCAGGAAGAAATTCTACCGAACGACGGCCTAAAAACCCGAAAAACCCATTAGTTTCAATTAAGATAATCTTCATCATCAGAGTTACAAACGAGGTGGGAGGCGCAGCTGTAGCAGCATCAACGACTTCCAAACTGCAATGCAGAAGGGAAAAGGTAAAAGTAAATATTAAAATTTACCTCAGTCCGCGGCACCTCTTTAGCCGGGAAAAGATAAGAAAAAAACCCCGTCTGCAAAAACGAACAAAATACAAATGTATACACACAGCTACGTGGAACGTACGCAGCTTATACATGATAGGAAAACTAATCAACGTAGATACAGAAATGCATAGATTGCAAATCCAAATCTTGGGCCTAAGCGAAGGTAGATGACATGGCGCCGGAACTCTTAGAAGCCAAAATGATGTCCTATACTACTCTGGAGGCGACGACCCCCAACACCAGTATGGCGTTGCGATACGCATCTTCTCCGAAGTGGAAAAATCTGCCACCGATTTTGTTCCTCTCGGAGATTTTGTGAGACTGCGCGATACCTATAAAATCATGAATATCAATCAAGTATATACTCCAACAAACGACAAACGTGACGAAGAGGTCGAGGAGCCCATGCTACTTTGGAAGAGGCCTTGAAACTAGCAAAGAAAGGTTTTTTTTTATGGACCCCCATAGGAACTATACAATCTGTTCTACAGAACAATAAGTAGTCTTTGTGGCTTAAAAGTAATGAGACATGTAGAGATGATTCTCCAGCGAAAATCTCTCTTTCTTAATTATCTAAATAGTTCCTATTTTGTCGACATATATCAAGAATTAAACCTGTCAATTAGGTCCGTCGGCTTGAACCGTTTGAGCCGGCACATTTCACCGGTTGTATCAAACAAATCGGAAGGAAGTACATTCGGATGCACTATGATTCTGTCTTAATACTTTTCACTAAAGCGTTTCACTTCACTTTTGATCGATGACATCTATAGGTCATTTTCTATAATTTGGTTCGGAACGGACCATGGCTCGTTGGTCATCATGCGTAGGACTTTATTCTGGAAACGCTGAAGTATTTCCAAGTTGGAGCTGCTAGCACTTCCCCACAACTGTATTCCGTACGTCCAAATCGGTTTTATAATGTTTTTGTATACCAGTAGTTTGATCTCAAGGTTTATCTGCGATCTCCTGCCCATAATCCAGTACAGCTGATGCAGTTTAAGGCCAAGTCGTTTTCTTTTAGAGAAGATGTGTTTTTGCCATGTTAGTCTTCTATCCAAGTGCAGCCCAAGATATTTTGCACTGTCTCGTTGTGTTAGCTGGCAGTTGTTTAGGACAACGGGTGGACAGTCCTCTCTTCTCAGTGTAAAGGTAACGTGTACTGATTTACGTGCAAAGAAAGGTGAAATGACAATTGTTCTCGGCGGTGTTAATGCAAAACTCTGACGTGGTGCTGAGGGCAAAGTTTTTTCGTCTAGTGCAATTTTGCACAGGGCTCGGTCTCTCTACTACCAACACTTTCTTTAAGCAGCCCCTCGGCGCCTATATACGTGGAATTATACGGCCGATCGGGACGATAACGTTATCAAAACAAGTATAGAGAACTAAATAGGAAACTAAGAATAGAATGCCGAGGAGCCAGGAAACCCTGGCTAACGGAAAAGTGTGGTGAAATAAGACGTTGCAATAAAAGCATGACTTATTTAACCTCCACAAGAAAATCATAGAGTTTACAAATACACAACGTAAAGGTCGACAAGGTCGAGTTATCTTCAAGGATATAAAAATAAAATTTTTGTTGATGTAAACGAGAAGATGAAGAGATGGGAAGAGTATGTTAAAACTCTTTAAATGACACACGACCTGCCCAATCACCCATAAACCATGAATTTAATAAGCCCAATCCTGACATCACAGGAGAAGAAGTGAGAAGAGCTGTAATGCTTAAAAAAAAACAATAGAGCCGTAAGCACAGACCAGGTACAAGCAAAAACTTTGCGACTCATAGTCGATCCAAATTAGTGGGGAGTAAACCTCCTTACCAATTTGTTCAACTCTATATATAGAGCTGGGAAAATCGGAAATTATTAGGCAAGGTCGACATTCATCTCACTACCAAAGAAAGCGAACGACTTAATACGATGACTACAGGATCATCAGCCTTATGTATCATGTCTCATGTTTGCAAGGTTTTCCTTCGAATCATCCACACGCGCATATACACCAGATGCAAACGACAAACTGGCTACACTCTTTTGGAATTTAGAAATGGAGTGGGAACACGCGAGGCTCCGAATGAATGTGGACGTGTGCGCCTGCTTGATTGATAATTGAAAGGCGATCGACTATGATTCGCATTAAAGACTTGCTGAATGCCTTAAGTCCACGGGCAAAACAGCTCCCGAGTGCTGCCATCTTTTTGGCGCAAATGAGTAATTTACCTAAATAGCTCACAACTGTCATCCAAAACCACCTGTTAAAGGTTATGTATCATTGATTAAATAAAATACAATTATGTTGTTAAAACACAAGTGTTACCAAGAGAAAGAAGTCCTGCCCGCTTTCCTCCAAACATCTTTGTGTCCCAATCACTTTGAATCTGGGCTCATATTTTGAGCAGCTTCTCGTGTTCGGTTAACTAACTGCTGCTCAATTTGAACCGGTGTTCGGAAGATCAGAGATTTAATGTTTTCTAGTGTTCTTCGCATATTACATGCTTGGTAGGAATGTAGGACCTTCCTCGAAGGAGTTATCGGGGCAATTAAGTATCCAGTGTTTGGGAAAGTGCAGTTGTTGTGCAATACTTCAAGTACTCCTGGAAGCTCAGCTGCAATCATCTCCAGCACCTGTTCCTCTAGGTCTGGAAACCGAGCACCTTTAGATTGTCCACTATCTGCGTCCATTTCGGACCACTCGTCTAGTGTGTAGCTCTTTGCTGGTGTAAGTTCTTACAGCTTCTGCGATGTTACTGTGGCATTTTCCCATAGCTAATCGCATATTCGCAACTTCGCTATTGGTTTATATTTTGTGAAAGGAGCTTCAAAGTAAGCCACGGTTTCAACTATTATTGGCAAAGGCTATCTACTTGTAACTATCTGCTGATGACAAAAAACATCATTGCCGCTTTGACTTTTTATCAACAATTTTTAGAATAGTACTTTTTAATATCAAAAATTTTCGTAATTTGACAAAAAGATCGTAATTTTTTTTTTCGAATGCTCAAGTATTCCAATAGGCCATCAATCAAACGTGGGACCTTTTCAAAATAATGCTGAATAACAAAGTTGAAATTCGATCTTCAACTGTTAATATCTTCTTGAAATTTTCGAAAAAAAAATTTGAATATTTTTCTCGTACTTTCTAAGTGGGCCCCTATATCCCCTGAAAAGGAATGACGCCAATTTTGAATCACCCTGTATGCTGAGGCAGTTTTTCGAGAATCACTGGAAAGTACGAAAGAGGGTTTTAAGATCAATGTTAGCTTTATAAATAATGTATGATTCGCTGACGACGCGGTGATACTCGTCAACAACCTACCAGGTCGCCAAAACGTGGTCAATCTGATCGTTGAGCACACTGAACGATACGCTCCTCAGATGAATGTCGCAAATGCAATTGTTGTATTCTCAAAATAACCGAAACGCATAGTCCTCAGACTTAAGTAAGAAGCCGTCGAACAAGTATATCTTTAAATATCCGGGAGCTCTTGTCAACGAGCCCAATAATATTAAAAATTAAATGTGTGTGTGTGTCTAGGATCGAACAGGAAACAAAAACTCTCCTCATTAGTCGATACTTATGTCTACAAATCCATATGCGCATACTACGCTGCTATATATTCCCTGTACTTCTCTATGCTTCTGAGCGCTAGAATCAATGGAGAACCGAATCAACGCATTTGCCTATTCCGTGGTATGCTGCGCTTGTTTTGGGTAAATAGGGTCACTAATGCGGAGATACTCAAGCGAAGGGATAAAGGCAGATAGCTTATGTTGGCCATCAAAGTGTGAAAGCTAGAATACATGTCACAGATAATTAGAGGAGAGCGTTATGAAAATTCCATCATTGAGGGAAAATCGAGGGCAAAATATCGAAAGGAAGGCGCCAAAACTCATGGCTCAGAGACTTACGCCAATGGTTCGGAAGAACATTAATGGAAATATTTAAAGGTACAGTCTCACACACCATTGTTGCCATTAGGATCGCCAACCTTCGGTGGGAGGCGGCATCCTACGAAGAAGATGCCAGACAATAAATCAGAGCTAAGAGCTATCTGGGATACCTAGTTCATGTGGTAAGGAGGTAAGATAATATGGAACGACTGATAGTAGAAGGCAAAATCCAAGGTCGCTGCCCAAGAGGAAGATCGTCGCCACGGTGGATAGACCGGACAAAATCCTTGACGGAACAATTGATCCATGAATCACTGATGACTCCCAAGATAGAGAGCGCTAGCGCGAAGTCATTGCAACCGTACCAAATTGATGTCACCTGCAGAATGGTTATGGACTGACAATAGCGACTTTAATATTAGGTATTGTTTTATTAGAACTAAGACATTACATACCGTTCTATTGCACTAATCCGATAGTTTATGCCTGGTTGTATTCCGTTGATCAGCGTCTCATTGGATGTTCCTGAAATATTTAATTGAACTGCACACGTTACGATTGAAGTCATACTGAGCAGATTATGTAGTAACCTGAAAGCAATTGCAAACCAGTTATTTGTTTCAAAAAAGCATAATTGTGATATACTTGAAACATGACGTATCACCGTCCTCAATTGGGATACACTCCGTAATTCCACCGGTTAGGTCTGCCAATCCATCCAGTAGGGAACCGTACTTTAAAGCTTCGTAAGACCCATGCAATCTGTGGACACACATTTTAGCATACTAAGTTAAAAAAACAATTATTCATATTTGCTTTCCATTCCAGAAACACATTTATGGAGAAATATAGGACCAATGGAAATACGATACTACATCAGGGTCAGGTCAAAGTTCCAAATTGACGCGCGGCTAGTGAGAAAAGACCCAATGGAAGCTGTAAATGTCTAGAGAAACTGAACTATTAGCATCAGGAATAGACGCGGATAGTAAACGAGAGGGATACTCTAGTTGCAGGCCTAGATGAACAGTTATTGGACATAATTGCAGCCGAGATAATTCGAGGACAACGCGGAGCATTGCGGCACAATCCTAAATGCAAATTGCTCCCCATTATAATTCAAGAAAAAATAAAAGCAAAACGGACCACGCTCGAAGAACATCTTATCTCAAGAATCTGCGCCACTGGTATGGAATAAACATCACGCCACTTTTTAGGTCAGCTATGGGCAACGTGAAGATCATGCCACTGATCGCCAATGTTCTGTGAGGACACGGCACTTGACGAGGAAGACGAAACTCCTAATCCATGATGCACATAAAACGGTATGCTAATTATCTGTCTCAAATCGGTCGGTGTGGCGCATGACGTCACATGCGAGGCTAGGCAGATGAACGGCTCGAAATATACAGGGTTGCTCATTAGTGCGTCAAAGTGCGATGTCTCAGTAAATATGAAGTTTACAAGAAAATTCGTCCAACGAAAGTTTTTCACGTTTA